TTGGTTGTAGAAAATTTTCCAGTTTTTTAGGAAAATTTTCTAACAAAACGAAAATTTTAAAAACGCGTTTGGTTCGTTCAGTTTTCCGAAGTTTTCTAAGAAAATGAAAATTTTCAGTTTTCCAAATTGTATGTAAATTAGAAAAGTGATTTTTACAGTTTTCCAAATTTTTAAGATGAAAAATGAAAATTTCACCGGTTCCAACCAAACGCGTTTTCTACAATTTTTATTGAAAACTAAAAATAAAACTCAACTCTATTTTCTGAAAACATTTTCTTAGAAAATAAAAACAGTTTTCCACAACCAAACGCACACTAAACGTTTTGGTTATATTTTTCAACAAAAATGGTAGATAAATGACATATTTGTTATTTTCTCTTTTTTTTTTTTTAAAACGACGAATATTATTAATAAAAACGAACCACTACTAGCAAGTAATTAGCAGGGGAACGAAGTACAAAGACGAAACAGAAACATCCATGGAATGAGATACAAAATTATGAACCTATAATATAAATGGAGAAACGTTCCAGTTTTCCTAATCACCGATTCCTTATTTACCCCTGCACTTTATCCAGAAGTACACCATTAACTTAATTGCTCCTGCACCATAAGTGGGAGTATGAAATACTCCAGTGAACACCCGGTCATTCCTAAGTTTCCACAGGATCCAGATTAGGCCGTGACATATGTTGAGGAATCTTATCACCTTCCTTGGGTTGCTTCCCCAATTTTCTGCAAAAGTAATTAATTCTCCAACTGATGAGAAATCTTCATGTTGTAAGCCACACCAATTGAAAATAATCTTCCTGACTTCACATGCGAATGGACATTGTACCAGGATATGATCAGAGCATTCCAATCCGTTAACACAAGTACAACAATTGTCATTTTCTATATCAGCCCCTTTGCATCTCAGTGCCACTACGGATGGGATCTTACTTTGCACTGCCTTCCATATAAAACAGTTAACTTTGATCGGAGATATCTTACTCCATTTAAAAGTTGGTAAAACACGATTAGGGTATTGTAAATGTTCAAGTTTTTTCCTTAGTAAACTTACTGTGAATTGGCTACCATTATCTAATGCACAACCCCATTGATCTTCACCCGGTTCCAAATGCACCCTTGATAACTTGTTTTTGAGATTATTCATACACATTATTTCAGTGTTTTCAATCACGTTGGATTTCCAATGAGCTTCAAACTGATTGTCTATAAATGTATCAGACACCAAACATTTCTTCCTGGATTCCAGCTCAAAAAGAGATGGGTATTTTTCTCCAAGTGTAACCAGACCTAACCATTTGTCATACCAAAAAGTGAATTATCATCGGATTTGATGTTTAATTGAAAAACATCCATAGTAAACCAACTTTTTTGAGCTCATTCTTGCATGCTGCAATGTTATTCCATACGCCTATTATTTTCAGATTTGAAAGATAATCATGAGGTTTGTTGTGAAGATTATGAATACCTTTTACAACTTTAACCCAAAGTGAGTTCTTCTCAGTTTTTAGTCGCCACCACCATTTTACTAGCAAGCTAGTATTCAAGGTACGAATAGTTCCCACTCCCAGTCCGCCTTCAGATTTGGGAGCAACAACTTTGTCCCAAGACACCCAATGGATTTTTCTTTTACTGTCGTCTCCTCCCCATAAGAATCTATGTCTAATTTGATCAAGTTTATCCGTGACAGCCCTCGGGGATTTGAACATAGAGAAGAAGTATGTGGGAAGATTCCACAGGACCAAGGTGATTAGTGTCAATCTACCCCCGAATGAGAGCGTCTTTGATTTCCATGTAGATAGCTTGGATTGGAATTTATCGATGATTGGTTTCCAGTTTTTGCACAAATTCAGATTTTCTCCAACCGGAATTCCAAGATAGTTGAAAGGAAATGAACCCGCTTCACACCCAAGAATGCTAACCCAATTCCTAGTCTCTCTAATTGAAGTTCCAACTCCAAAAACCTTTAATTTATGAAAGTTGACTTTGAGGCCCGAGGATGTGTTAAAACATTTCAGATTGCTGGATAAGTTTTTTAGGTTGGATTTGGACCATTCTCCCACGAATAAGGTATCATCCGCGTAAAATAGGTGTGATAGGGGTGGGTCCGTGATTTAGGATTTGGATGCCCTTGAAGGTACCGTTTACCTTTGCAGCTTCGAGTGCTACAATTAGGCCTTCCATGGATATGGTGAAGAGGAAAGGAGATAAAAGGTCTCCTTGTCGAACACCTTTAGATATTCCAAAATCACATGTTGGTGAACCGTTGATTAACACCAAGGCCCAGGATGAATGAAGGCAGCCACGAATCCATTGTCTCCATTTGCTACCAAAACCCATTTGTGAGAGTACCGAGTCAAGATACTCCTAGTTAATGGAATCAAAGGCTTTGTCGAAATCAACTTTGAACATCAAAATCTTCTTTTTGGCCACTTTTGACCAAGATAGTAGCTCATTTATCATTAGTGGACCGTCTAAGATACTCCTGCCTTCCACATACGCTAACTGTATGTCTCCAATAAGATCACCGATAACATATTTAATTCGGATGGCAAGGATTTTTGAAATGATTTTAGACATGCATCCCATAAGGCTGATGGGTCGGTAATCTGTGAGAGAGATGGGGTCTTTGACCTTAGGGACCAGTGATATGAAAGTCGAATTACAACCTCTAGCAAAGGTCCCAAATTTGTCAAAGTGTAAAACGAATTTCATTACATCATCTTTAATGATCTCCCAATAGGTCTTTATAGATTTGAATGTTAAACCATCAGGACCTGGCGCCTTATCGCTTCCACAGTCCCAAACTGCATCTTTTACTTCTTTATAGCTAAATGGAGCTTCAAGTTTGATTGCCTGCATCATGGAAGTAGATTTGAAATGGGGGCTAATGAGTTTGGGTCTCGATGTCCTGGTCTTCATGAATTTGTTTTTGAAGAACTGGAAGGCTGCGTCTTTAACTTCATTGGCATCTAAGGTCCATTTTCCATTTACCATTAGGCCATTAATTCTTTTAAACTTGTTCTTACTGTTAATAAAACCATGAAAAAATTTAGTATTTTCATCTCCTTCAACATTCCATTTCACCCAAGCCTTTTGTTTCAGATCCATCACTGCTAGTTTCTCCATTTCAAGAATTTTTTGTAGACCATGGTTCCTGACTTCTAATTCTTGATCAGAAAGTGATCCTGACTCAGCAGCCTTTTCAATTTTCGTCACTTCTGATTTGACTTTCGAAATCTCCTGGTTTGCCTTTTCAACCGATTTTTTCTTCCAGACTTTGATTTCATTTTTTAGAAATCTGAGTTTTGCAGCGAGATATGCGTCCAGATTACCACACCCATGGAATTCCGCCCAAGCTTTCTTAACTGTATAGTCGAATCCTTCTTGTAGTAGCCATGAGTTGAATAATTTGAAAGGGGGAGGGCCATAGTCTGAGGATGTGCTGATTAGGGTGACCGGAGAATGATCAGATAACTCCCGGGGATGCACTGTAATGGCTAATGAACGGAAGGCTGCTAGGAAGTTCGGGCATGCTAGGAACCTATCAATTTTACTCAATTTTGCACTGACTCTGGACATGTATGTGTAGATTTCGCCTCCTATACTAAAGTCTTGAAGTTTTGCCTCATGAATGAACTTGTTAAAATATTTTGCACTCGCTGGGCAAAAGTTCGAATTAAATATTTCTTCAGCTCTTCGTACTGCATTGAAATCACCAAAAATGGTCTAATTACCAGGTTTTGCTTTTTTAATGGCTGATAGTTCGTGCCATAGTCTTTTTTGATCCCCAAGGCTGTGAGGCCCATAGATATTTGCAAGTATTGTGTCACCTTCAATTCCAATCCACTTGCCAATTATTATTAAATAATATCGAGATTTAATAATCTCATTTTTGGATAAGCAATTCATGTTCCAAATAGATAGGAGACCGCTTGATCTACCACTAGAATCTACGCCTTCAAAATCAAAATCATGGGATCCCCAACACCCCTTCACATCAATTCTTTCAAAATTTGTTATTTGTGTTTCTTGTATCCCAACAAAATTAGCTTTATGTACCTGCTTCAGTTTCCTAACCCACTTGATTTTTGCCTATATCGCCTATACCTCTGATGTTAAGTGTCATGCAATTCATGGGATAACAATTTTCTCTCCAGAATCTGCCTCTGTTTCGACTAACACTGGATCGTTAGCATCAATTTGGAATCCGACTGAAATTCCAATCGCAACGATATCTCTAGTTTCTGTTGAGTGATGAGTTTCATTTGTCACCCCTTTAGCTCCCACTTCGTTCGAGAGGTTCACGTCTGGTACCATCTTTGCTATTGAGGAATTAGAAATCACCAATTCTGATTTGGAGGTAGGAGGAGGAATTGCGTTGAAGTCTTGTGATTGGGGATTTAATCGTGAGGAATGCAGCATTGCTTTATCTCTTTTCCTTTTTTGTATTTGGGTCCACCGCCACTATTTGGATTGGAGTGTGAATCATTTTTTTTGGGCCGGAGGGGATGTAAATGAGAATGACATGTTATTGTTGGGGAATGGCCCAAAACAACCAAGTGGAACTAACTTCTCCAATGGCACAAGAGTGAATATATCTGATGGCCCATTTATGGGGGTGCGGTCTGTATTGTAGGTAACGGAGAGATCACGATGATTAGTTAACCTAGAAAACACTTTGGGAACTTCATGCGACATACCAGAATTAATATCAGTTAATGCATTGATACGCGCCGCCTCGTGATTGGTTTCAACGGTAAATTGTTTGGGGACTTTTCGTTTCCTTCGACAGCCGGTGACTTCGTCGTGGATGATATTACGGTTGCCGGAATTTGAGAGTCCAGTTGGACGTCATTTGTCGTCACGTCCTCCTGTCAGATTTCACCTTCTTCTGGTTCCTCCATCCAAGTTTCAGAAATTCCTTCTGTATTGACATCATCTTCATCCGATTCCTCAACCTTTTCGCAAGGAGCAGTTTTGAATGGAGACTAGTCGTCCGTATATTCAACAACACCAACCTTGCATTCCCGTCCATTTGAAGTGATTGTGATTTCATCGTTGATCCATCTCCATACAGAAGTGAGTACGCCGACTTTTCCCATGGAATAGTCTCTTCTGTTCGCTATGCAGTCGAATGGATTGATAACTCTACCATATCTACTAGCAATAATCGTGAAATTGTTTTCTTCCCATAATTGTAGCGGGACTCCAGTAATTTTAAGCCATGCAACTCTTTCGTAATCCATGTCGTATTGGTCTGCCATCACTAACCACTTGAACCAATCTTGCCACCGTTTTTTGTCTTCTAGGTACTTCTTTGCTTCAGTTGACCACCGAAAGTGTATGGCCAGTTTTAGGCCTCCCAGGTACTTCGTTTCTTCATTTATAATACCAAGTGCATGAAGGTTAGCCATGTGACCGAGGCTATGCGTTTCACCAATTAGTACACCTTTTTTTTAACTAGTCTCTCATGAACGTGTTGGGATTTAGAGTAATCGAGACAGGTTGTTGGGATTTTTTCTCGTTCTTTTCACTGATTACTTGAGCATAAGTTCTGTTACCGCTAACGTCCGGATAGTATTGTTGAGCATAGTGGTTGTTATTAGTTTGTATATGTTAGTATAATGTCTTCGTTTTCGTCCTTGAAAGCTTCCTGTAAAGAAAAAATTAGATGCAAACGATGTGGCTGAGGCTCGAGTTGGACTCGATTCCCTTAAACAGATTCGCCGTCTGTTCCCAGGGTACAACAACCTAAACAGTATTGTGTACTGCCGGATATCACCACTTGCCTGAAAGAATCGCCGGAAGCAGGAGTGCAGAGAAGGAAGAAGAAGAAGAGTAATTTCATTCGTGTCTTTGAATGAGACGACAAGGTCTTCTTTTATAGTTGAATCGTGAACGGAAACAAATCACTAATTGATTGAGCGTTTAATGGCAATAAATGTCATTAATTACGCAATTAATGCATCCATTACAGAATTCAAAAATAGGGACCAAAACTGTCAAGTTTAGCAAAAATGAGGGTAGCGCGTGCCCGAGTTTTCGGAGCTGCATTCGTGTCCGCAGGTCGCGCCCATGCACGAGTTCGGTGTTTTTGGTCTACGGAACCAAGATTTGCATCCCCCCTGCGCGCGGGTAGGAATTATAGCATAACCATAGACACAAGCTTGTAAGCCTTCCATGCAATGAAGCTTATAAACCTTGTTGAGTTTGGTCTCTCTACCAATGTGGGACTCATTCCCACATTCCTCTCTTTTGCTAAACTTATTCTTAAATACACATCTTTGAGTATCGATATCCCATTCACTTAAACTCTATTTTGTACATATAATATATCGTTTCGAAGTCCTCATGGAGGAGAACACAAACCCACTTAGAGTTCGTTATGTATACAACATATGTATATATTTATATATGTCCAAAGTTAGTAAAAATATAAATATTTATACTAAATTTCCAACAATCCCCCACATGAATGGAGATCGATCTCTGCACATCCAATTTCCAGACGAAATTTTCAACAATTGAATCCTGCATAGGATAGGTATGTATTACCCTTTGAACCCTCCCTTAAGAAGTTACACTTAATCTCCTAATAGTTAGTAGATCTCGATGTCTTTGAACTAAGCTGCCATTTATGTAGACGACAATGTAAATCTCATAGGACTCTCCCTGACAAGGTCATATCCTCATAGACGTGTTCGTTTTGGTCATGAACACTAACCTGGTTCTGCAAGAGCTTTAGGAATTTTTGCCCCTATAATTCCCTTCGAAGCGACCCCACTTCTCTCTCACATAGGTGATTCCAAGAATCATTAAAAACCATATGTTTAGCCTAATTTTGTCACTACATAAAGGAATGGACTAGGAAGAAATGTTAACTCCCCCCACAGTGACATGCCCCACTCATACAATTAGGTTATCCTTTTGAACCCAGATCTTGGGATCTCCAGTCTTCTGGGTAAGGTTTCCTTCGTATGAATTTATTCATTCATGGGATTTAGTCCTATTCCTCTTGATGACTTATAAACTACATCTCTACTCAAGCCTTTTGTAAGCGGATCCGCAATGTTATCCTTTGACTTCACCCAGTCAACCGTGATAACCCCCGTAGAGATTAGTTGTCGTATCGTTTTATGTCTACGTCTAATGTGCCTTGATTTCCCATTATACATTGTACTTTGAGCTCTACCAATTGACGATTGGTTATCACAATGTATACATATGGCCGTTACCGGCTTAGGCCATTCGGGAATGTCCTCTACAAATTGACATAGCCACTCTGTCTCTTCAGCACAAATATCTAAGGCGATAAATTCAGATTCCATCGTGGATCTAGATATAACTGTTTGCTTGGATGATTTCCATGCTACGGCAGCACCTCCAAGTGTAAACACATATCCACTTGTAGATCTGGAATCTTTTATGTCAGATATCCAATTTGCATCTGTGTATCCTTCGATAACTGCTGGATGTCTGCCATAATGCAGTCCATATTCTCGCGTGTATATCACATACCTCAGCAACCTAGTAATACTCTTCCAGTGTTCAGAACTGGGTTTACTAGTGTATCTACTTAGTCTGCTCACAGCATATGCTAAGTCAGGTCTGGTACAACTCATTAGATACATCAGACTGCCAATAATTCTTGAATATTCCACTTGATTAACACTATCACCTCTATTTTTACGTAGATGTTGACTAGTGTCAATTGGAGTTCTAGCTATGCTAGTGTCTCCCTTAGCAAATTTTTCAAGAATTTTATCCACATAGTGTGTTTGACTTAAAATCAAACCACTTTGGGTTCTTGTGATCTTCACTCCAAAAATCACATCTGCTAAACCCATATCTTTCATGTCGAACCTGGATTTCAACATATCCTTCGTGGATCTTATTATCTTGTCATCACTACCAATGATAAGCATATCATCAACATACAAACACAAGATGACATAACAATGAGTGGTGTTTTTCACATAGATACACTTATCACACTCATTGATTCTAAAGCCACTTTACATCATGACTTGATCAAACTTTTGATGCCATTGTTTAGGAGCTTGTTTTAATCCATATAGAGACTTAACAAGTTTACAAACCTTGTTCTCTTGTCCTGAGGCAATGAATCCCTCAGGTTGCTCTATATAAATTTCTTCTTCCAACTCCCCATTTAGGAAAGCCGTTTTCACATCCATTTGATGAACTTGCAAGTTTCTGATAGCTGCAATGGTAAGAACTAATCTAATGGATGTTATCCGCGTTACCGGGGAATAGGTATCAAAGTAGTCTAGACCTTCCTTTTGTCTATAACCTTTGATTACTAGTCTTGCCTTGTATTTATCAATACTGCAATCAGGTTTCATCTTTCTCTTAAATATCCAACGGTAACCTAGTGGCTTGCTACCTGGAGGTAGATCCACTAGTTCCCATGTATGATTTTGTAAGATAGATTCTACCTCATTTTTGATGGCTTCTTTCCATTGAGGTCCCTCAGAAGAAGTTACCGCCTCTTGGTAGGTTTTAGGTTCACTTTCCACCACATAGGTGAAAAAATCATCACCAAATGATTTTTCAACTCTAGCCCTCTTACTTCTTCTGGGTTCTATCTCTTCCTCCTCGGATTAAGCTTGTTCTTCCTCTCGAACAACTTCGTTATTTGGTAAAGATGGGCTTTCAACTTCCTTGTTCAAACAGGGAAACACATCTTCAAAGAATGAAGCATTCCTTGATTCCATTATGGTATTCTTGTATATTTCAGGATTCTTAGAATCATGCACAAGGAACCGATAAGCACTACTACTTTGTGCATACCCAATGAATACACAATCCATTGTTTTAGGCCCTAACTTTTGTACCTTAGGTGGTGGTACTACAACTTTAGCTAGGCACCCCCACACTCGTAAGTACTTATACGTTGGCTTTCTTCCCATCCAAAGTTCATACGGTGTTTCATTCTTTTCTTTGCGAGGTATCTTATTTAAAAGATAGTTAGTCGACAAAATAGCTTCCCCCCACATTGACTGGTTTACACCCGAACTAATTATCATGACATTGACCATTTCTTTCAAGGTACGGTTCTTTCTTTCAGCAATTCCATTGGATTGAGGTGAATAGGGTGATGTGAATTCATGACGAATTCCATTTTTAGCACAAAAATCAGCATAGGGAGAAACATATTCCCCACCCTTATCACTTCTAACCACTTTAATTCTCTTGTTGAGTTGATTCTCAACTTCATTTTTGTACAAGACAAACTTGTCTATTGCTTCATCTTTACTCTTAAGTAAATATATGTAGCAATATTTCGTGCTATCATCGATGAATGTAATGAAGTATTTGTTCCCGCCTTGAGTAGGAATTGATGCCCTGTAGCTTCAATTCCATAACCTTTGCGTCTTTGATGCCGACATATCTAACAAAAGCAAAGTTCCTTCTTTGGTAATCTTTCTTCAATCCAAAATACACATCTACTGCCTTTCTAAACCTGCTGAATGGCTCACGTAGCTCTTCCTTCTTAGTGCCATCGGGGAACCCCGTCACATAGTAGTTCGTAAGTTCTGTATTCCAGATCTTCCTTCGCCGGACTTGCGTCCATTCTCCGGTTGGTTGGTGGCCTCCGTTCATTGAGAGAATTTATCAATCTGTTATTGATTTTTTTTTTAAATATTTAAATGAAAATGAGATGTGTTTTATTTCTTTTTTTTTCCAACTTGGAGAGCATAGATGGGATATAGTTGGAAAGCATTAGAGATATTAAGGGTACATTTGGTAATTTGACGGTAAACGGCAAAGAATGAGATAGATGGTAGAGCTCTGCTGTCGTCATCAATGGTGAAAAAGGCTACAAATTTATAGTTGATTTTTGATTAAAATTATTTTTCAAGCTTTCGAGATCACATGGACAGAGAGGAAGAAGAAGTTGCAGAGCTCCTGGGAACATAGAAGAATATATTGTAGGCGAAAGTTTGTGACCCTTTTGCTTTTAGGGCTTTTTCAGGTACTTCAGATTTATGACGAATTGGGGTTTGTATGATATAGTATCGACTTCGTTTCTATAACTTATGCTTCCAATTCTGGTTTTAAACAACTTTGGATCATAAGTTTGATTATGAAGTGAAAACTGCTCAGTTGGAGTTAGACGAAGTAGAGATTGATAACTAATTTTGGGGGAAGATGAAGGCGGGGAGTGCGGCGAAGCTTATTGTCGATGCACTGCTGCAACGGTTCCTTCCACTTGCGAGGCGTCGAATTGAAACAGCACAAGCACAGGTAAAGATATTCACTTACTCACTTATCATCTACATCTATGTTTAATTTCGGATTCCGAGTTTACAATTCGGATTTGTACAAGACGATTAGAGTTGATGTACGCTAGTTCTATCCACAAATTGACGTATTCTATTGAAGTCGTGTCAGTTGTTGATTAGATTGTGTTGTTGTATAAACAGGATGGACAATACCTTAGGCCCTCTGACCCTGCATACGAGCAAGTACTGGATTCTTTAGCAATGGTGGCACGACACACACCTGTACCTCTTCTAGAAGCTCTACTTCGTTGGAGAGAAACGTGAGTCTCTAAACTCTATTGTTATTCTACATTTGTATGGAGTTTGATCATGTTATTTCTTGTCTGTTTTCAGTGAATCCCCAAAAGGTGCTAATGATGCATCTACATTCCAAAGAAAGCTTGCAGTGGAATGCATTTTCTGCTCAGCATGTATTCGATTTGTGGAATGTTGTCCACAAGAAGGACTTACAGAAAAACTCTGGATTGGCCTTGAAAACTTTGTATTTGATTGGCTCATAAATGCTGACAGGTAATAAGTTAATAACTAATAACACCAAGTTGTCTCTAAAAACCTCCATTTTTCCCAATATATAAGCTGAAACTTTGTTTCTTTTCAGGGTTGTTAGTCAGATTGAATACCCTTCTTTGGTTGATTTGCGTGGACTCCTTCTAGATCTTGTTGCACAACTCTTAGGTGCTCTTTCACGTATAAGGTAAACTTACTACTTCTAATACAGGGTCTTTTTGGTAATTTAACAATGTTTATCTTTATCCTATTCCACAATAGGTTCAGTTCTGTAACTGAGCGTTTCTTCATGGAACTCAACACTCGTCGAATTGACACTAGTGGGGCTCGAAGTGAAACACTTAGTATCATTAATGGAATGCGTTACTTAAAGCTCGGGGTATATAACTATATATGCTAAATACAACATTTTTTTTTTACTTTTTTTAAATTATTTTCTTTCTAGAAGCATATAATAATATACAGTGAATGATACATTAGGTGAAGACAGAGGGTGGTTTAAACGCATCAGCTTCCTTTGTGGCAAAAGCCAACCCTCTTAATCGGGTCCCACATAAAAGAAAGAGTGAACTTCACAATGCCCTTTGCAATATGCTTTCAAACATTTTAGCACCACTTGCAGATGGTGGTAAAGGTAACTGGCCGCCACCTGGCGTGGACCCCGCACTTACTCTTTGGTATGAAGCTGTTGCACGTATAAGAAGTCAACTCATGCAGTGGACAGACAAACAAAGCAAACATATAGCCGTAAGTAAATGTCAATTCCCCATATTACCCTTTTCTTACTTTAGTATAAGTTTATAAGTTTCTTGATTTATTATTAGGTCGCGTACCCTTTGGTGACTTTGCTTCTTTGTCTTGGTGATCCTATTGTTTTCCTCAATAACTTTGGTCCTCATATGGAGCAACTTTACAAGCATCTAAGGGTAAAATCGTAATTTCAACATTTAGAGATAATTATAACTTATAAGAGGAATGAATGATTATTTAGAAAATTGATTTTACAGGACAAGAACAACCGTTTCATGGCTCTGGATTGTCTCCACCGAGTTTTAAGATTTTATTTGAGTGTTCATGGGAATTCTCAACCACCCAATCGCGTATGGGATTACCTGGACAGTGTGACAGCTCAGCTTTTGACAATTTTAAGGAAAGGAATGCTTACACAGGATGTCCAACATGATAAAGTTGTTGAGTTTTGTGTTACTATAGCAGAACATAACCTTGATTTTTCCATGAATCATGTGATATTGGAATTGTTAAAACAAGATAGTCCAAGTGAAGCAAAGGTGATTGGCCTTCGTGCCTTACTTGCAATCGCCATGTCACCAACAAGCCAACATGTCGGCTTGGAAATCCTTCATGGTAATTATTCGATTTGACCTTTTTAGCCTCCATTTGACTTTTTTTGTTGACTTGTGCTACTTTTGCAGCTCATGATATAGGGCATTATGTTCCAAAAGTCAAGGCTGCAATCGAGTCTATTTTGAGGTCATGTAATCGAGCTTATAGTCAAGCTCTTCTCACTTCTTCAAAGACCACAATAGGTAATCCAGTTCACATTCTACCATTTTTATGGCATTTAGGATCTGTTTGGTATGATGGAATGGAATTGCAAAGGAATGGAATGAACAACGTAATGGAATGTGCAACTCAATGGAATCAATCATTACATTCCATTGTCATGTTTTGTTGGCTCATGGAATGAGTCATTCGAACATATTGTTATGCATAATCAGAAAACTAAATATCACTAAACTGATAAATAAATAAATGTTACATTATTAATCTAAATTTAAATCAAATAACGATACATCTATATATAAATCACACATAAACATATCTCATACCGTTTAAAACACATACTATATGTATTTCAAACCTTAATAAAGATTTATCTATCATTTAAAAAACTTTTTTTTTTTTTCAAAAATAAAAGTTAATTACCATGAAATAGTAAAATAGAAATATAATAACTGGAATCAAAACAAAAAAAAAAAGCAATTTCATAGAAGTTTTGAACAATTTAAAAACATTGGTGTTATTGAAGACTGGGTTTTTGACATAAAAGTCCTAAAAATTATCAAAAATAAAAACGGTTTTGTCCTTGCGACGATTTTAGGCGTGTTAAACTGTTAATGCCTAAAGTTTGCCAAGTTTTTTTTTTTTCTTTCATTTTTACCCTTAAGTTTACAAATTTGCAAAAAAACTTAAGTATGAAATCAAATTTGCAAAAAAAAAAAAAAAAAAAGAAACCATAAGTTTACAAACGTTTTATATTTTTACCCTAAGTATGTTTTCCAATTTTGACATGAAACTCCTTAAGTTTTTCAAATTTTGTCGGTTTCGTCCTATAAAGATTTGACAAACTTAAGTACTTTCATGCCAAAAGCCCTTAAAGATTATACAAATAAAGAGTAATTCTAACTATATCATTCCATTCCCTCAAGGAATGAATCAAACCCCCCTCCATTCCATTCCCTCAAGGAATGAATCAAACCCCCCTCCATTCCATTCCCTCTTTGATTACTGCATACCAAACATTACCTTAGTATCATACACCAACAACACATGCACTTCTGAGATGTAATAAATCTTTTACTTTTTACCTTAGATGCTGTGACCAAAGAAAAATCCCAAGGGTATTTATTCCGCTCAGTTCTAAAATGCATACCCTACCTAATCGAAGAAGTGGGTCGAACCGATAAAATAACCGAAATAATCCCGCAACACGGAATCAGCATCGACCCGGGGGTCCGCGAAGAAGCGGTCCAAGTCCTCAACCGGATAGTCCGCTACCTCCCACACCGCCGCTTTGCAGTCATGCGTGGAATGTCAAACTTCATCCTCCAACTCCCAGACGAATTCCCTCTCTTGATCCAAACATCCCTCGGACGCCTTCTAGAACTCCTTCGTTTTTGGAGAGCTTGTTTGTCCGATGATAACAACAACAACATCATCGAAAAAAACAAAAATGCCGATGAAAATGTTGTTGTGGTTTCGGATAATGCGAAAAAACAAAAAGGGTTTAAGAGATCTTCTTTTCATCCCGGTGAACAACCGATTGAATATCGCGCTTCGGAGATTGATGCAGTTGGCCTTATTTTTCTTAGCTCTGCTGATAGTCAGATTAGGCATACGGCTTTGGAGTTGTTGAGATGTGTGCGCGCTTTAAGGAATGATATACGGAATTTATCGTTGTATGAAAGATCGGATTTTTTAAAAGACGAAGCTGAACCCATTTTTATAATCGATGTTCTTGAAGAAAATGGGGTATGTAATATGTTCTTGTTCTACTTAGGGTTTCTGTTTTTGTGTAAAAATGTTTGATATGATATGACAGGATGATATTGTTCAAAGCTGCTATTGGGATTCAGGGCGACCTTTTGATCTGAGAAGAGAATCTGATGTGGTGCCTCCTGATGCAACACTGCAGGCTATACTTTTTGAAAGCCCTGATAAGAACAGATGGGCCCGCTGTCTTAGTGAGCTTGTCAAATATGGTGCAGTGCTCTGTCCTCAGTCTGTTCAAGATGCAAAGTAATCAAAATTTTCTACCTTTTTTTTTATCAAATTGTTTTATGGAAAATTGTCATAAAAGTTTTCAACCTTTTACTTGGTCAGACATTATTTTTTCAATAAAACCACTACGTTTTGTATCTACTTTTGGAAAAGCCATTGTGATAAAAAAATTATTATTACTACTATTATTAATTATTACAATTAATAAAAATTGTCCTTATATCTAGTTTTGGTAGTATTCAAGCTTTTTTTTTTTTTATAGATATGGTTCGACTATTTCAGTTACATTTTTCGTTTCTTAAAAACAACTCGGTTTTTCAGTTATTTCGGTTTCGGTCATTGGTTATTTATTTTTTTTATAAAATGATTCGTTTGTTCAGTTTTCTCGGTTTTTCCATTTTTGTTGTTCTTTATCAACAACATGCTAACTATTTCATTGAAGTTGCTACATATATTTAAAGATATAATCATTGTTATAGTCAAATGATATATGTTTGATAACTTATTAGATTACCACATGGTTAATGCAAAACATTAGTAAATGTCATACCTATTTTATCATTTTAATTAATTAAATCATTTAATCCAAATAGGTAATAATAATATATAAACATACTACGTATTTACTATAGGTAGTCCGTAACCATAAGATGTGTCCTATTTGCTTTAATGGAACCGTTGTCATGATGTTAATAAAACACACACACACAATTAATAATAAATTAAATCAAATAGTTTTAGAAATTCGAACACTTGTTTTTAAAAAGAAAACAACCAAAAATCAAAAAAATTTAGAAAACTGAAAAATCGAATCAGTTTAAAATACATAGAAAAACATAATAAAAAAAAAACTAAAAAACCAAGTTGTTTTTAGAGAAAAACGAAAAATGTAACTGAAAAAATCAAACCTTTTAAAAAAAAGTTAAAGAAACTAGAAACATAAAAATCTCTTATTTATGATATTGTCAATGGCTTTTCCGAAAGAAAACATAAAGTAGTTGGTTTTTCAGATAAAATATTGAAAACATAGTGAGTGACTCTTGTAAAAAAATCCCTTATTTTTATGATATTTGTATTGTCAGATTGGAAGTAATTCAGCGCCTTGAACACATTACACCTGTTGAATTGGGTGGAAAGGCTCATCAATATCAAGAAGCAGACAGCAAATTAGATCAATGGCTCATGTATGCAATGTTTGCCTGTTCATGTCCACCTGGAAGGGAAGGAGCTGGTGCTGCAACGACACGCGATCTTTTCCATCTCATCTTCCCTTCACTAAAATCTGGCTCTGAAGCTCATGTTGTAAGAGCACCAAATCCATTTTTTTTTATCAATAATAAAAAATACAGTATATTCTCTTCAAACTAACTATTTTTTTTCTTCTTGGATTGCAGCATGCAGCAACTATGGCTCTAGGGCATTCCCATTTGGAAGTGTGTGAAATAATGTTCAGTGAACTCGCATCTTTCATGGACGAAATTTCCTTAGAAACAGATGGAAAATCAAAATGGAAGGTATCACTATTCACCAATTCACTAATTCACTAATCCACTTAATTATAATATTCGAAAAAAACTTAATATTTTATTTATTTATTTAAATTGAAACAGAGTCAAAAGCTTCGGCGTGAAGAACTCCGAATCCGGATAGCAAACATATACAGAACCGTAGCTGAAAACATATGGCCCGGAATGTTAAGCCGGAAACCGGTATTCCGACTCCACTATCTAAAATACATCGATGAAACCACAAGATTAATCTCAACTTCACCTCTGGAATCCTTTCAAGAAATGCAACCTCTTCGATACTCACTCGCGTGTGTCCTAAGATCTTTAGCCCCCGAATTTGTCGAATCAAAATCAGAAAAATTCGACCCGAAAACCCGAAAAAGATTATTCGATCTTCTTTTATCTTGGTGTGATGAATCGGGGTCCACATGGAGTCAAGATAGTGCAAGTGATTATAGACGTGAAGTGGAAAGGTATAAATCGAGTCAGCATTCTCGATCGAAAGATTCGATTGATAAGATTTCGTTTGATAAAGAAGTGACTGAACAAGTTGAGGCGATTCAATGGGCTTCAATGAATGCCATGGCTTCTTTGTTATATGGGCCTTGTTTTGATGATAATGCAAGGAAGATGAGTGGAAGGGTTATTTCATGGATTAATAGTTTGTTTATTGAGCCTGCTCCGCGGGCCCCGTTTGGGTATTCACCCGTTGACCCGAGAACTCCGTCTTATAATAAGTATGGGGGTGATGGTGGGAGAGGGGGTACGGGTCGGGATCGGAATCGAGGGGGTCATCTTAGGGTTTCACTTGCGAAAATGGCGTTGAAGAATCTTCTTCTTACGAATTTGGATTTGTTCCCTGCTTGCATTGATCAGGTTAGATAGATGTCTTTTCTTGTATCGTAAAATATGTTAACAGGCGGAATTGGAATTCGAGATTCCATTCCGTTGTGTGATTGGTTGCCAAATGGACGATTCAGTATCATTGAATCCCATTTCATTTCCTGCCAACCAAAAGCATGACAGATTCCAATTCCCTCAGATTCTACTATTCTAGGCATACTTTGTTCATGGATTCCAGTGGAATGTCGGAATTGGAATCAGAGATTCCAGTTTTGTGGCTTGTTTGGTTGCTAAAATTGATGGAGTTCAATTGTGTCGGATTTAAATTCCATTTTTGGTGGATTTTACCATTCTGGTGGAAGGAATTCAATTTTATTCTTTCCTTCTTCTTAAAAGACCAAAGCACCCATCATTGTATATAAATAAAAGTAAAAATTATAAAAATATTCAAGTTAAATTATTGAATTCTATTTCATTTCCTGATTTTTAATTTTTTCTTTAACATGAGGGCATTTTTGGTCTTTTAATATAAAAGAAAGAATGGAATTGAATTCCTTGCACCCTCCTTTAGGAGTAGTAATCCATTGAACATTGAGTTTAAACTTTAAAGGATTCCGACATAATTGAATTCCATCCAATGGAGTCCCTAATTCCAATTGTCAGAATCCAGAAACCAAACACGCCACGGAATGGAATCTCGGATTCCAATTCTGTCGGAATTCACAACCCAAACATCTTATATGTTACTTGTCTTGACTAAAAACGTCTTTTTTTCTCCTTCAGTGCTACTATTCCGATGCTGCCATAGCAGATGGCTACTTCAGTGTCCTAGCCGAAGTCTACATGCGCCAAGAAATCCCCAAATGTGAAATCCAAAGACTCCTCTCTCTAATCCTCTACAAAGTAGTTGACCCTTCCCGCCAAATCCGCGATGACGCCCTCCAAATGCTCGAAACCTTATCCGTTCGTGAATGGGCTGAAGACAAAATAGAAGGTTCCGGAAGCTACCGTGCAGCCGTCGTTGGCAACCTCCCCGATTCCTACCAACAATTCCAATACAAACTCTCTTGCAAACTCGCCAAAGACCACCCCGAACTCAGCCAACTCCTTTGTGAAGAAATCATGCAAAGACAACTCGATGCAGTTGACATCATCGCACAACACCAAGTCCTCACTTGCATGGCTCCATGGATCGAAAATTTAAATTTTTGGAAATTAAAAGACTCCGGATGGAGCGAACGGTTATTAAAAAGTCTTTATTATGTGACGTGGCGTCACGGGGATCAGTTTCCGGATGAAATCGAAAAGCTTTGGCGTACGATCGCCTCCAAACCCCGGAATATCCGCCCGGTTTTGGATTTCTTGATTACGAAGGGAATCGAGGATTGCGATTCCAACGCGTCGGCGGAAATAAGCGGCGCCTTCGCGACGTACTTTTCCGTTGCGAAGCGCGTGAGTTTGTATTTAGCGCGAATATGTCCGCAAGGAACGATCGATCATTTGGTGTATCAGTTAGCGCAACGTATGTTGGAAGACAGTATGGAACCGGTCAGACCGACTGCTAATAAAAACGAACCGAACGGTTACGTTTTGGAATTTTCTCAGACGTCAGCGGTGGCACAGATGGCGGCGGTTTTGGACAACCAACCGCATATGTCACCGCTCTTGGTACGCGGGTCCCTGGACGGCCCGCTACGGAATACAAGCGGAAACTTGACATGGAGAACGGGCCGGACACAGTCCGGCCCGTTGACTCCCATGGCGCCGGAAATGAACATTGTTCCCGTGACCGGTGGGCGGTCCGGGCAACTCATTCCGGCGCTGGTCAACATGTCCGGCCCGTTAATGGGCGTTCGAAGCTCAACCGGAAGCATGAGAAGCCGCCACGTGTCGCGCGATAGTGGCGATTATTTGATCGACACTCCGAATTCCGAAATCGACGGGTTGCATCCTCCCGGTGGGACCCACGGGGTTAACGCGAAAGAGCTTCATTCCGCGTTACAAGGACATCAACAACATTCGTTGACTCATGCGGACATCGCGTTGATTTTGCTTGCAGAGATCGCGTACGAGAATGACGAGGATTTTCGGGAGCATTTGCCGTTACTTTTTCATGTCACGTTTGTTTCGATGGATAGCTCGGAAGACATCGTGTTGGAACATTGTCAGCATTTGCTCGTGAATTTATTGTACTCATTAGCCGGCCGTCATTTGGAGCTGTACGATGTTGAAAACAACGATGGTGAAAACAAACAACAAGTCGTGAGTTTAATAAAATATGTCCAATCAAAACGCGGAAGCATGATGTGGGAGAATGAGGACCCGACACTTGTCAAAATCGAGCTCCCGAGTGCCGCTCTTTTATCCGCTTTAGTTCAAAGCATGGTGGACGCGATATTTTTCCAAGGCGATTTACGAGAAACTTGGGGGGCAGAAGCGCTAAAATGGGCCATGGAATGCACGTCGCGCCACCTGTCATGTAGGTCCCACCAGATTTACCGGGCTTTACGTCCAGCTGTCACAAACGACGCGTGCGTCTCACTCCTTCGTTGCCTCCATAGATGCCTCGCAAACCCGGTCCCTTCGGTTTTAGGGTTTGTTATGGAAATTCTTTTGACTTTACAAGTTATGGTTGAGAATATGGAGCCCGAAAAGGTCATTTTATACCCGCAACTTTTTTGGGGATGTGTCGCGATGATGCACACGGATTTCGTCCACGTGTACTGCCAAGTCCTCGAGCTTTTCGCGCGTGTAATCGACCGGTTATCGTTCCTTGACCGAACTACCGAAAACGTCCTTCTCTCAAGCATGCCGCGAGACGAACTCGATCACACCGTTTCCGATTCCGACTTCCGGACGGAATCACAATCCGGAAACGGAAACGGAAACGCGAAAGTCAAAGTCCCGGCGTTTGAAGGCGTCCAACCGCTCGTACTCAAAGGACTCATGTCAACCGTAAGCCACGGTGTCTCAATCGAGGTTCTTTCCCGGATAACAGTTCACTCATGTGATTCCATCTTCGGTGACCCCGAAACACGTCTTCTAATGCACATCATCGGATTACTTCCATGGCTATCTTTACAACTCACCCACGACACGCTTACCGAAAAATCCCGAAACGTATCGACAAATTTAGCGATTTGGTGTCGCGCGAAATCTTTAGACGGATTAGCGACTGTTTTTATCGCGTATTCACACGGCGAAATCAAAACAATCGATAACTTACTCGCGTGTGTTTCCCCGCTTTTGTGCAACGAATGGCTACCGAAATATTCCGCTCTCGCATTCGGGCATCTTCTAAAGCTTCTAGAACGTGGGCCCGTTGAATACCAACGCGTTATTCTTTTAATGATGAAAGCTTTACTCCAACATACACCAATGGATGCTGCACAGAGCCCGCATATGTACGCGATTGTGTCCCAATTAGTTGAAAGCACGCTTTGTTGGGAGGCGTTGAGTGTTCTAGAAGCTTTGTTACAAAGTTGCAGCTCGTTGACCGGGTCCCACAGTCATGATTCCGGGGTTTATGAAAACGGGCTTGGTGGTGGTGGGCCCGGGGTTGATGAAAAGGTGTTGTTTCCGCAATCGTCTTTTAAGGCGAGGAGTGGACCGTTGCAGCAGGCGATGGGTTTGGGGTTGGGGTTGGGGTTCGGGGCGGGTGTAGCGGTTGGGGTGTCGGAATCGGGGATTCCGGCGAGGGAATTGGCGTTGCAGAATACGAAGTTGATACTTGGGAGAGTGCTTGATAATTGTGCACTTGGGAGGAGAAGGGATTATAAAAGATTGGTGCCTTTTGTGACTACTACTGGAAACCCTTGATTTTTTTTGGAAGTTGTATCTTGTTTATGATTTGTACATTGGTGAATGGATGGATGGGTTTTGTATATAATTGAAACTAGAAAAATAGTGATTGATGCTCATTTTGATTCGAGTTGTTTTTTACTATTTTTGTGTAATAAGCATTGTGTAAAATGATGTATTATTGTCAGCTTTGATCAATTATTATCTCATTCGGATATTTACCATAATAGTTTTAATTAATGCACGTCCAAGCTGAATTTTTACATAAAATTTGGTATTAAATCTCTCTGCATCATTTTATCATTTTTGTGTTTTTTCGTACTGTAATATCTGTTGCCTTTAGTATTATACTAGATTATGGCCCGCGTTAAACGCGGGGAGCGCATAAAAAAACACATAATTGTATACATATATTACATCATAGGAAGCATGACAATTAAAAGTACATTACCATAGCTATTTTAAATTCATTAACAAACATTACAATAACTATTTTAACCTCATAACAATTAAAAGTACATTACCATAATCAATAAACACAAACATTATTTTCCCATTATAGTTTAAATAAACTTCCACAAAATATCGCAGACGAAATTAAAAATTCATCTTGGCATATCTCTGATGTTAGCTGCTTCCAACATCTTCGATTCAAACACTATCTTTGTTAAATCGGTTGAAATCAAAACATTTATTGCAAATAAAATAATAAGGCAAAGATTAAGGAAATTACCTTTAAGCTTAAAACAAATTGACAATAATAGGCTTGGTCAACATAGTTTGTTATTTAAACTTAAAACAACTTGACAATAATAGACTTGGTCAATTTAGTCCATAATCGGTTGTAAGTCAACATTGTATTATAAGAGATCTAAAACTATTATGTTTATGTTTTTGTGTGTGAAAAATATGCTTGAACACATAACAATGACCAAATATTTGAATTTTATCTGAATTATTATAATTTTGTATTGTACATAGAAAATAAAACATGAGTTTATGATTAAAAGAATAAATAAAAAAAACTAATAAATCATAGAGTAATATAAAATATTTAAATAGTTCATTATAAAAAACAACTATGTTCGAATGCAAATTAAAATATATATATAATCACTAATATCTACTTGGCATAGTCACTGTATCAAAATCAGAACGAATTGAAAAAACTTGTTGAGAAGGATGTGCCGGAACCACATACTCAATCGTATTTCCTTTAAAGAAATATAGGGTATTGTTTCTATAATCCCACCATTCATGTGCACCTTCATTGTAAGTACTAAGATCTACTTTAACCTACCGATTGTGAATGAAAACCCAAATAGCCCACAAACGATCTCCACTTACAGAGAAATATCTCAATTTTCCGTGAAACTTGATCAGTCTCGATGCATACGGTTTGAAGTCATTAATAGTAGATGGTGCAAATATGAGTATATGTTCTTCTGAATAAATATCAAATCGCAATATGGTATCATTAGATAATAAGAATTAAACGACACCGCCACTTGTAACTGGCTCATGATAAATGGATAATTTGAAACTCCCTCCATTGCCATGTAGTAGATGAAAACAATTCTATGTTGTAGTAATTGTAGTCCACTTTTTCCTTAAGGAGGTCACTACAAATAAAATAACATATAAGTAAATAATAAAGTAAATTAATAACATAAAATATACTACGTATAAACTCATACGATGGCATTGTGTATGACAATCGAATGACCTTGAAATGTAATGAGTTCGAACTGATAACTACCAAAGCAAACTTTACCGCAGTGTATTCAGAGCTCGGAAACGATATCCATTTGGCATTTGTAGTCGTTGGTTTGATAACAAATAAAATCTTTGAAATGTATTCATTTGGATCATAGGATTCAGCAAGAAGGAGTCCGCACAAGGATGATGCTAAAATCGTACAAGTATGTGGTAGCCAATCAATGTCAAGATTTAGTAAGTGGTACCGAACCAGTAATATCTTCAACTATAATGGTGATTTTCAAACTGAAAGTATTGATGTAAACAGATTTAGTAATATAAATTTATATAATTTAACATTACAATATAAAAATATTTATAAAATAAGTTTCAAAACCTGGGAACAACAGAAATGACTTTGTTCATGCAGCTTGAAGTGTTACAATAAAAAACTTCTTTATCTTGAAACTGATCACCATGGATTAAAATTTGTTTTACGGCTTTCGGTTGACATCTAGTACAAGTAAAACAGTACCATTCCCCTTCAGCACATACTTGCTTAATCGTACCGAAAACAATTAAAGTTTTTTCCTAAAAAATGTTAACGGAAGTTTAAATTTTAGTATAAAATAATAATAATCAAGGATTAAGATATAAATAATACAAAACCAATTTCACATAATTTATATATTGTAAATGAAAGTGATGTATATAAACCTGATGTACTTGTTGAAGATCAGCAATACTATGGAAATCAAAGTTATGAAGGAAATCTTCATTTTCAGAGTAGATGATCAAGGACGAATGGTTGCTACAATTAGCAATTGTGGTTTGAACAATTTATCTGTTTGTGGACAAAATAATGATTGTTTGAAGTTAAATGTTTATTAAGTATAATGCTTAAACGGGACTTTTATAAAAAAAATATATCAAACTTTCTGCAATCATGAGTTTATGATTAAAGGTACAAAGCAAAAAAATGCAAATTTTTTGTTATAAAATGTGTAGTAAAAATAAATGTACAGTGCATGGGCAATTTGGGAATGTTGGTATATATATTTATTTTGTCGTATTTTTACTATTATAAAAGAACAAAATATTTATGAAGGTTTTATACTAAATTTACATAATAAAAAAAGAAAAAAAAAAGATAAAAATATTTATTATGAATTATGGCATACTGGTATGAAATAGCAATGTCTTTTTACTTTTAAACCATTAATAACAACATAGCTAAATATGCAATTTTTGGGATATCACGGTTATCAGATTTGTGAATGAAATTTTGAAATTTGGAAAAAAATAGATTCAAACTTAACTTTTTAAAATAGCATTGGAAAAAAATAGATTCAAACTTACCTTTTTAAAAACCATGTGGATTATTAGCTAATAATTTAACATTTTATAATCTTAGTATGCTACATGGTCAAAATGTAAAAAAATGACCATTCTACCCCTACTCATACAGAAACAACAATTACAAACACACAGACGACAGTTAAGTCATAAACAGAAAGCTATTTGCAATTTTTAATTTAGGTAGAAAATAACAACCAACTTGGGTCAAAGTAATCATTATATCAATATATTGCAATTTTGAAGTCTTCTGAATGAATTAACATGTAATTTGGATGAAAATTCAATGAGAGGTTCATCCCTATTCGTGGTTGATTTGAAAGACTTCAAAAGTTGTATTTTAGATTGTAATAACAATCGACACAAAGAGATATCGACACGGAAACATAAAATCATAAGTTAAACATAGAAAGATAATTTAAAATATTATATATATATATATATATATATATATATATATATATATATATATATATATATATATTAAAAAGACTTAACATTATACATGAAATATAAATTTATTTCATAAACTCAGTCGTTAATCAAGATAAACAAATCAATTAAAAAACAAACAACATATATAAACCTTTATATTTAATATGATATTAATGAATTAACATTAAAAATGAAAATATTTTGTGTTTCATACGCATACACTATTAGCCCTAGATATTTTAGGAACCTTCACATATCTTTGTTTTTTATCACTTAAAACTTACAAGCTACTGATTCAAGAATGCAGACTATAAAGTGAAGTCGCTGAAGACGGGATGTTCAAAAGAAAATAAAGGCGACGTACCTGATCTTAAATATGCTTAGAAAAGGAACAAATCGAATGTAGAGAAAAGGAAAACCAAAGATGCTTAAAGAGTTTTGGAACCAACGAGGAATTTGATCTAAGGGTGTAAAACATACAATCAAGAACCCTTTTTATGCAATAATACATAAAATTTGAAGTAATAACATAAAAATCTGACAATCTAAATAATAAAGTTTGTAGAAACATTACATAATTAATAATAATAAGATATCGACATACTTAATTGATAATTAAAATTAATAAAGCTATATAAAAATAATATTGAGTGAAGGGATCGGGAACTAAAATCACCAAATTTTTAATAATTGTAAATTTCTCAGATTGATAAAAAAAAAGAGGAATAATAAGAGATTTCATTGCATAGACTAAAGTTGATTATTAAAATTATTTGAATAGAAATAAAACAAAAGAACATAAATCGATTTTAATCCATATTTTTCTGCCACATATTTGAAGCAATTTGAATAACATAAGAATTTGACAATCTAAAAAATAAAGTTTGTAGAAACAGTATCTGCTGGTCAATTAAAATCATGTCTAGGCTCCCGACCATATTAGGATTGTTTTTGTAGGTCTGATTCCAAAGCAAGACGATTTTAACACGTATGTTCAAAGACTCTTTGGATGCATCGATTTCAGCAACCTTATCAAACACGACCTGATCTGCATTGTTAGTTGCCATGAAATACTATTATCTGCAATGAAGGAGATAATTAGTTAGAGAGAAATTTGATTTGGAATGAAAAATCGTAGACACTATATTTATAGGAAAATATAAATTTGGTTAATGCTGATATGACATAAAGATTTTGGAATGTAATATCATTTCCATACTTAAAATATGTATTATGTATGGTATGATAGCGAAAATAATATCAATATAACATGTCAAATACAATTACAAAAATAGATAAAATCATACCTAATTTAAGATAATAATTACCATATTAAAAACTGTAAATTTGAAAAGTTTGTAGAATAAGAAAAAAAATATAATAAATATATAATTTTTCAATAAATATGCAATATAATTACAAAAATAGATTGCAATGACGATGAACATATAGCTAAAATCATACCTAATTTAAGATATTATAAAGTTTGTTTTTTCCTCAAGCCACAGATAAGATTCATATTAAATTTAATATATCACAGGTATGTTACGACACGTTTTTAAAGAACATAAATTTTATTAAATGAATTATCTTACTCAACGCTAGTGATGCTATCATTCTTTTTCTTGGTTATTTATTCAACATTATTTTGACAAAACATATGGCTAGTGATGCTATCATTCTTTTCTTGGTTATTTATTCAACGATACCATCTCGTCAGTTTAACCCAAGAATGGTTGGCTTCCAGATAACAAGAAGTACTAACATATAACAAGAAGTACTAACATGTTATACATTTGAATCGATTAACCAAATGTTTATATCAAAAACGTTTTCTCTGTAAAAAGGTAGCTTACCGGTTGTGAGTCACAACTAAGATAAGCCGAAATCCATAACATGAAGGATAGATATTTTGACTTTTGCCGCATACCGAAAGTTTTGCAAAAAAAAAATTGTAGGTTGAAGGTATTTTAATAACAATATCTTTGGCATCATGTTTTGTAATTCCGCCAAGAAGTATGAGCAGAAATAGAGAGTTTTACTATTTTAAAAATTAGTTGGTAAATTGAATTATCAATTGCAATGAATTGTTAGTACAATCAACCAAGACATATTTTGGTGGTATAAGTACTATGGTCTATAACCTTCTTGCTTTCTTGTGTTAGTATTCATAACAGCTTCAACCACAGTCTATATATAACCTCTATATCGACAACTGCATGTTTTCAAATGACCATATCCGACAGTATTTACATGTATCAGAATATTAAAGCTCTCAACTTTAGATCGAAAACCTTCGTCCAAAGAAATATGTTCCATATTCAACTTCAACCTGCATAAAAAGTGCATACAAACAGATGGTAATTAAATTGAAAAAAAAACTTTGGATTTTTTAGATAAGGATACATTGGGATATGGAATATGACGCATAATTAAGGGGTGATACTGATAATAATTAAATAATTATTAAATGCTTACCCTGAACAAGTAGTTTTCAGGGGATAATGACAACTTTTGTCCCTTCCCAAAAAGCATATCAACAGATGGGAAAGTTTTCGATAGCTGTGAAACATCACTGAAAATAAAAAGATTTATCATTTTCATATTATTATTATTATTATTATTATTTACTTTTATACAATGATTAATGTTAAATAGATAATAAACATTACCTTCCACACCCGAGAAGCAAATGTCATTATTTGGATTAGGTCCTTTGATCATATGAACACCTTCAAGTTTTTTCAAGATCTACATATAATATAGAGATAATCAATAATTAAATACTACCCATTTAATAAAATGTTGCATCTAAATGACCATTTTATCTACATGATTTCTTAAAGATTTTTTCAGACCATTCTGAGTTTTTTTTATCCATATTACCTGAAGAGTTTTTCCAAGGCCCATTTTATCAGCCAGGAGAACACGCCCTCCATGCTGCAATATAAACCCGCAATAAAAAGATCATGAATTATTTAGATGATGAGTATCTGACCAAATAACACACAAATTAGTCAATAATATTACATACCTGACACCGTCTCGCTGAAATGGCAATAACTTTGATTTTATGCTATCAGGCATCGAGTCATAGCGATCTGACGAATAGCATAAAAGAAAACATTAACAACACGAAAAGCATGAAAAACATAAAATAGAATACACTGGTTACAGAACAAGAAAATGGCAATAGATTTGATTCAACTCTATCAGGCACTAAGCAGTTATCGCAGTCAAAAATGAAATATCGGTGAAGGGCCGAGATTTGATATACCGGTTATCATGGTAGGATATCAGTTTTATATAAACATAAATTCTAAGTCAAGTAATCAGTAGCATCGGGCTTAAAATTGAATCATCAAACTCAAAATCATGGATAATTGCAAAACTCAACTAAGCTAGTAAGCTAATCAAGTAAAAAATAGCATTGTATTGTTGTACCCTTCTAGCAATCAAGTAAACAACCGGAAATGAAACTTAAAAACTATTAGATGTTAACACCTATTGGTTGATATGTTATATCTTTTTTGTAAAAGGTAGATAAAATGTATATAATAAAAAGAAAGCAGATTTCAAAACTATTGCTTTTGAAAGAATAACAATAATAATGATGACAACACCTTCATATGTTCCAACTCCTGCCCTTTTCCTCAATAAGCCCTACTTGACTAACAATCATATCATCTGATATATAAAACATTAAAACAAACATTTCTACCTTGAAGATCTGGAACAGCTGAGGCAGCAACAATAGCACGGTGCAACAATGGATATAGAGTTTCCACCTGTAAAATCACAACTACGTTCCACCATTTATGAGTCTTTAAGCAAAGAAAGAGGATTTTCAATTTCATCAACTTCGTTCAAATCCTTGATCCACTCAGGTTTGAACTCATATTCTTCCCAGACTAATATTGAGTTCATTACAAATCCAGACCATTCCAGTTTTTGGGGCAATACGATTGCCATATCACCAATGTAATTTGCACTCTTTTGTTCATATGCATAAAAATTAAACGTGTGCCACCCGATTGAATGATCAGATGAGTTGCAAGCGGGACCTTGAGTTGCCAATGGTGATTTCTTGTTGTTTGGTTCGTTTAAATTCTTTTGAACCTCAAAAGGGTCTTCGTTAGAATGACTGGAATGAAGAAGAATCCCTACTGAAACAGTACCAATCCATTCCACTTTTTGGATCTCATCAAAGAGTTCTAAACTATGCATGTTGCTATTATCGGCAAACATAACAATTCCATCAAGTTTCTCTTCTCTCACAACTCTGGATCATTAAGAATTACATCTATTAAAGTTTGATCTTGGATCTGAATTCAAATAGGATATGTTATGATTACCTTAAAGCTTGCAATCGCATCTCGGATTCCAACTTGTGACGAGCGTTCCAGAAAATGGGCATCTTCTTCTTGAACCCAATATGCTTGATTTGAAGTTTCGATTTTGCCAGCAACGCTGCCGTTTCATTGGTGGTGCCAACAGCTTCCACCACGATCCATACGACTTCGTAGGGAAAATTCATCAATGTGTGCATCAATCCGGTTAGATGTAAAGCTTGAAAAGTTCGAACGTAAGTTGGAGTGACAAAAATCAAAGGTCTAGGGTTTTTAATCCCGTACTGAACCTTCTGTTCCAGCTGAACAATTTCCATGATTCTGTGAGCTTTCATTACCTCCTTCGGGTTGGGGTGGAGATTAGAAGATGTGTCATCTTGGCCGATTGAAGAAGAAGCGAATGGATTCTCTGTTTCTTTAGGTTAGATCGGAAGAAGCGAGAGAGTAAATGACGAACGGAAGGCAACATTAGGCAACTGGTTTTTGGGTATAACAATGATGGCAGCAAATAATCTAACGGTCTAGAATATAGGATTGAAATACAATGAATGACCTTGATTTCTTAAATGGAGAATTTAAGGTTCTATTTTAATAATATTTAGAGATTTTAATTTTAACTAATATTAAATTTATTTTTTATGTTTTAAACTTAATTAAAAGCGTAATACTTTATTATTTCATGATAATTTAAGAACACGCTTATACATTTTTGAATAAGATTTTCCAAATAGAAAATGTTAATGATTTAAAACAAATAAGCTGAATAGATCGAAAAATAAAAATAAATACCATTGCTAAATATTTAATTTAGAATATTTCTTATGATAATTAAATGTAGGTTTTATCTTAAAATTGATATGTTGATGTAGAAAACCTTTTCAATTATTAATATTTGTAATGATTTCTTATGGGTTGATTTTTTAAAAAGGGTCTATATTATTGGGTCACTTGAAAAGGGAAGTCAAATAAAATTTATTTATTCATGTAATTTTTGTTAATTATGTTAGTTTTATATTTAGATTTCTAGATATTCTGTCAGATATATTTTTTGAGATAAATTTATAGAAAAAAAAGTTTTGTTCATGCTAAAAAAAAGCCCGTCTTGCTAAGATTCCTTAAGAAAAGTATTTTTTATCCATGTAACTAAGAAAAAATATAAATGATTTTGTCTCTCTACGGACCGGACAATAACTAATGATTCCATAATTGAATGAGTGTACTAGTTCCAAATTAAAAAAATGTTATGATAAAACTTCATTTAAAGTGATTTGATAGAAAACAATGTATGACTTGAGGGATATGATTCGGTGTGGAATTTTAATCCACCATTTTATTAATTTATATACGATGAAGGTGCTCTTGGTCCGCCGTCGTTTGTGCTATTCTACTAGAAACCTTTTTCTATCCGGTTGTAATGTAAATAGTTCAAGATGGAATTCGAATAAAAAATATAGATTAATTTCTCAGGGGCAATGATATAGGGTTAAGGCCAAACAATAAATTTAAACATATTGCAATACATGCCGCTAATCCAAATATTTGGTAAAAAAAAGATTTATATCAAATTTATAAATTAAACATTTGGTCTATGTGGTTTATTCAACTTCATACATTTGGTCCTATTATTGGATTTTTGACATGTCTGGTCCTTGTCATTTGTATTTATTGTGTCGGTGGTTCCTGATGCTAACTTCATCTACTTACAACCGTACATTTCTTCGTCTTCATTTTCGACACCACCGTGTCCCTACTCCATTTAACCGATCATCAGTTCATTGTTCAATATCGTGCCCTTCTAATTAAATGACGATGATTACGATCCGCTCTGTGAGCAGTGGAGCAAATTAGATTGATTCCTCCTGAAATTTTGGTTGGTGACTTTTTTGAGGGAGATATCGTAGATGAAAATCACATGGATGGATGGGGGTTGGGTAGGATTTTGCAGATAATATGGACAAATTCTTGGTATGTTTTCAATATCCAAGGAAGAATTTTGTTCTCATTGGAATTGTTATGGGTGGTGATGGTAGTTGTAATTAGTGTAGTGATCAGGGGCGATTTTAGTATAGGGCACACAGTGTACAACCACTGATTTTTTCGGATGCAGAGCAAATTTTTTCTACTATCGTGCAACCTCTGACTTTCCCGTGACACCCCTACTATGAAATCTTGTGTCCGTTCCAGGTAGTGATCAGTTCTAATTAGTAGATAATAAGCAAATAAGGAAATGATTAGGGCAAATTAGTCATATTATGAAAAATAACAACTTTACTGTTAGTTTAAACGCCTCAGGAACTACGGGCGTAACAAATGCAAACCACATGGACAAGCCATGTCAAAATCCAATAGTAGAACCAAATGTGTGAATTTGGTAAAACCACGGGACCAAAAGTGTAATTTACTAAAAAAAAACTAATAAATATAAAAACGTTTTTAAACGTTAGAAAAAAAACGGATACACTCTACTACTCTAAACAAGTAAACATTCTTCTTTGAGTAAAAAATTGTGTCGTGTTTGAGAGACACAGTCTCCACTAAAAATTATATCATTTTACAAAAGATGTTGTCATGGGTAGGATATTCTTAGAGATTATATGGTTGGGTTTCGGCTTATTGGCAGACAGGAATATGAGAAGACTTGCTGACTTCTAAGTATATGCAAAAGACATAAATACCCTTTATCTTCGTGATAAAAATGCATTTGCACATATTATTATGTAACACTTCGTGATAAAAATGCATTTGCACATATTATTATGTAACACGGAGTCGAATTTTAAATGTAGTGAAAGGAAAACATGATATAGAGACACATCATACAAGATAAACAACAATCGAAAACACAAGCACACATCTATACAACTCAAAACACGAATGACTCGAGTTCTATCTTCACAAAAATAAAACTATCTCCAAACAACACCCATCATTCGCGTGTCGATCCACCGTTCTTCTTGAACAAAGCCAATGCGTCACTATAAACCGCCACCACATTTGAGAAAACCGCAAGCACAATCATGAAAACACACAAAATCTTGTCCCTCTTGCTCGCAATTCCATATCGATCCCTAAAATTCCAAACAAAATTCAATCAAAATTCCACCTTTCAATCATAACAATACACACATCGGATTTGCATTAGTTTTATTCAATAAAAACCTATTATCAATAACTTCTCTAACTATGTTGCTTTTTTTTTTTTCGAATATTTAAAAGATGATACAATTATTATGTTTATAAAAATAAAAATAAAAAACAATAAAAATATCATATAACCATTATACATTTAATATTTTGATATTAGATATTAAAATGAAATAAATTTAAATTAGTCAAAAAGATAATAAATATTTTAAGTTTAAATATAATTAGAGTAAATTGAAATATTAATGAATAATTTAATAAAATTCAACTTACCCGAGAGTGATTGCAGAAGGAAAAATAAACCCAATGCAAACAGCCGCCGTTGCTCCGGTGAATTGAAAAGCATCCCAAATGCTCGGAATAAAATTCGCCCCCAAAAAGATGACTCCAATTAGGGCAACCGTGATTGACACAAACCTTAAATTATCAGAAGCTAGTGGGCCCCTACGTGGGAATAGCAATCCATCTAAATTCAATCTTAATGGAAAAAACACGATTGGGAAAACAAGCATCAAATGGAGTGCATAACTAACGCGAACAGCATCATTAAGCAACGAACTATACGGGATTCCAAGATTTGTGTCAAAGTTTGCAAGAACATCATCGAGGGTTTCATCACCAAATAATAAGAACCCAAAGAGACTCGTCATCACGTATACAGATGAACATAGGATTAGTGATGTTCGAACAACTGCTTTTATTTGAGTATTGTCTTCAAGTTCGTTATCGATGGAGTGAACATTGTAATGGCAGATGTAAGCAGTGACAAGAACAGGGACAACTGTGAAGAGATTGAAGGCGGATGTGAAATCAACTATATCGGGAAACAATTTGGGCATTGAGATGCTTCCGGTTATCAATTTGAAGAATGTAATTCCTGCTGTGATTACAAGGAATACAACTGCTAGTGCTACGGATAATGCGGAGGTGTAGCTCAATGAATCTGCACACCAAGTGTTCGATAAAATGTCAGGGCTTTTTATTTGTTATTTGTTGCAAACCAACTGTTTGATAAAATGTTTGAATAAAAAGACTAACCGATGCGCTTTAGACTTGCCAATGGTGCAAAAACTCCAAGGGTGGTGACAGTAAGTACAAAGAAACGACCATTCCACCATTGAACTCCAAACCATCCTTCTAAAACTCCGGAATGATGGATTCCATCGGAAGTTGTTCCCGAAAGCACATCACCTAAAGAACATAATCCAAATCGGAATCAAAATCAAAATCAAGATCAAGGTCTACGTATATCGTAAATCTTGTGAGTTGTGATATATTTAATTGAATCATATTCATACCGATGATAATCATGTAGACAACAAGAACACCGATGTTATTAACCATGACACAAACTTGCAACAACATTCGACCAATACTACCAAAGGCGTCTTCCATAACACCTCCATAAGAAACCGATTTTCCAGCCCTAGTGAATCGAATCAACAGATCGATGGAAGCATCGGTCAAGAATGCCATGAAGATTATCAAAGCAATTCCAGGAATAAGTCCTAAAACCTTCATAGTTGCAGGTAAAGCCATGATTCCAGCACCCACGATTGTGGTTGATAGATTGAACACCGCACCAGGAAAAGAAGCGCCATTGAATTCATCAAAACCTTGTTCTTCACCTTTCTGGGTTGGCAACAATGGTGATTTCTCATCGACCAATGATTGTTTGTTGTTCTTTCTCGATCTCTTTTCTTTCAGAGGTTTTCCATTAACAATCGTCATCTTCCGATGTGTATTTGAGAAACCCCAAGTTTTTGCAGTCGAATTCCTGAAATTGAATTCATTGAATTCAAAATACAAGCTTCAGAATCGATTAATTACTAGAAAGCAATGAAACCAACGCGTTATGTACTCATTTAATCAAAACAAATTACTTGAATTACAAAACCCCCAATTCATTCCTGGAAATGAATCCAAATTACAAGCTTCAGAATCGATTAAATACTCGAAACCAAAGAACCCTACATCATACAATTATTTGGATTACAAAACCCCCAATCCAAAAATCAGAATTAGAAGTCAAAACCGTACCTTAAAATCGATTAACAACAACCAAACAATTTGGATAGATGCAGATACGCAGGGATACGGGTCTGAATTTCTCAACCCCAGAAAATTAGCTTGGTCAATATCGGATTACGGCAGTCGATGAAAGAAAAATTGA